AAACTAAACCAAGGACATTAAAATAAGGATTCCACTAGATTATTTTATATGACAGCACTTGGTTCTTTTGAACACACACAGGTTATTCCATCTCAAATCAACCAACAGACACAGGTGACTCATAAAAATCTGAGAAAATTCACAGGTGTTTCTTGATTAAATTTATTGGAAAATTGCAAATATTAGAATTGTATATTTAATAGCTTTAAACTTGGAATATCTTGAAATTTCACTTCACTTTTGCTAAGTCTTTCAATGAATTTCTGATATTCATAGCTCCAAGGATATTGTATGTACAGATTTGAAACTTGGTGGCAATAGTCAATATTTACTATAGATTACAAAAATATAATCAGATTATGTATGTCTTATATACTTTTATTTTTATACATGTGTTCAGAAAATAATACAGGTTTTGTCATTGTATATTTTAACTTATTTTTTTAAGTGCAGAAAAACTTACAAACAAGCAAAAAATATATATTGTTTTTATAAAGTATTTTATATACTCAATAATCAATTTTTTGCTTAAATGATCCATTTTTTCGCGTACTGCATAATAATATTTTTTCAGACTTCTTAATTAAAATGCTAAAAATATTTTCACTAAATTTACTTTCATGAGTATAATCTTGGCTACAGTACAGCTCAGATTGCCCAAAACATTAATAAATGATCTTAAGTACTGAGTGAAATGTTGGTTTCAGAAATTTTGTCATGGTGAAGCCAACCTTGAAGATAAGAAAGTTCAAGATCTTGAAAGAGAGTTAGGTGTGGTGTACTGGATCAATTTCTGAACATTTTAACAAAATTGGAAAGTCTAAACTGGGCAAATAGGTACCACACAAATTTAAGCACTAACACTCTATATTATTCACTACTGCACTTTCTATTAATTTCAATCATGGTCATTTTCTGTTTCTATAGCAGGATATGATTACACAACTGCAAAATTAAAACATTATTATTCATTCATCTAGCAGGAGAAAAATTTTTGCTTTGCCAACAAAATCACCTCCATTATGTTAAAGATTAAAGTAAACAATAAAAAATTGTTATGAAATCTATTCCAATCTTATTTTGAGCAAAAAAAAAAAAAAAAAAAAAAGACTATTTATTAATCACATTGTGATATATAACAAATGAATCCTATATGACAACCCATGATATTAAGGCCAATGGCTGAATCAAAAGAAAACTCCTAAGTACTTCCCAGAGCTGAAGTTCCGCCAAAAGTAAGTTATGGTGACTGTTTAGTATCCTAAAGCTGGATTGATTCACCAATCCTAGTCAACAGAAAATGTCCAATACTCTTGTGAGAAAATGCTTGGCTACATGTTGCACAACAAACACTATAAAAATCAAATGAATTTGACTACTAAATTATGCCTCACCTAATTTCTTGACAGCTGATTACCATTTTTTCAAACAATTAGACAACTTTTTACAAGGAAAAGTTTTCAACAATTCCATGGTTGCCCAAAATACCTTGGAAGATTTTGCAGCCTTCCAAACTCCTAACTTCTATGCTCATGGAATAATTACACTTGTATCTTGTTGGCAAAAACATTTAGAATCTAATATTTTTTGAGTAATAAAACTTCTTTTGTAGTAATATCTGGCATCTTATAAATAATGAATAAAAACTGGCATTATTTTCTGAACAACCTAATATTGAAAAAATGCTGTCTGCTTTTAAAGCTTTTCATTTATAAAGTATATCAGACACAACATCAAAATTAGTTTGACATGATTTGCAAATAAGATACTCTTAAAGTAGACAGCATCTTTTTTATATTTTGGTCATTTTCAGGTCCTTATAAAAGTATGTAAGACACACCAAAGTTAGGCAGTTTTTCAAAATTTTTATATTTTTACATCATAGTCTTACATATCTGAAGATAATGTGACAGAATTTTAATTTTGTAGACAAACTTGTATATAGGATTAAAATATTTTTAATAGAACTTGTCATGCCAAAATCACAGTTTTATAAATTTTGGCATCTTATAAATTTGATACTAGAGAAAATATATACCTGGAAGTTGGTATCCCTAGAGTATACTATGGAAAAAAATACTTTTCTTGGCTTCATTTTACTTCTGCTCCAAATAGTTTACATACAATGGGGTCTTAAATTTTTTTTGTTGTTGTTTTTTTTTTTTGGGGGGGCTATGAAATCTCTACCTAAATGAAAACCTAAAGCATGGACATTAAAATAAAGATTCCATTAGATTATTTTAATCTTACATCAATTCAAAATAATGAAAATGCAATTTGTTCAGGTTAACAAATTTATATTGATAATCATACTTATTATAAAACCCAGGTTGTGTGTGTGTGTGTGTGTGTGTGTGTGTGTGTGTGTGTGTGTACGTTTATATATTGGATCATATTTCCTACATTTTTCAACCAATTTCAACAAAACTTCACAGGACTACGTAAAATTACCTTGCGGTGGTTCTGACAGTGCCCAAAATTGGAAAAACACAATTGTTTTTTGCACGAAATCAATTTGGAAAAACACGATTAAGAGGCATCACTGTCACCAGAATGAAAGGGGGGACAACTCATATCGAGTTATACTTATAAAACCCAGGTTGTTTTAAAAGGCAGTGTGTGTTCGTTTATATATGGGATCGGATTTCCTACATTTTTCAACCGATTTTAACAAAACTTCACTTCTTTTGGCAAGTAGTGTTTTTATTTTCTTGCACACTTTTTTCTTTTTTTTTTACATTCGAATGCTTTAAAAAATTCCATTTACAAGACAATTGTTTATAATAAAATTATATATTCAATCGGGTAGACTCATAAATATTGAAAACAATGTTTTGTTTGAGTTGAAATTAGTTAAGACATGTCCGTCAACCTTAAACACTAATCTTTGTCAATTTTATTTTTCAGTCTTTATGAATGTCGATACTTGATCAATCTCTTACTGTTACATACCCGGGCAACGCCAAGCTCTACTGCTAGTCTATATTAAACATTAACAATTATTACCAAGTTTCAAATCTGTACATTTGCTGTACTTGGTGCGATGAATGTTGGAAATTTGTTGAAAGACTTATTCAGCAAAATGCACCACATCCCACAAGAAAACGCTATAAAATCAAGATACTATGATTTTAAAACTATTAAAAGATACAGATGTGATATTTGGGATTTATCAATAAATTTGAGTGAGGAACACATGTTAACTTTTCAGATTTTCTTCTGAGTGTTGCATAAATATTCACAGACAAACATACTTTATTATGCACAAGGATACGCATGTAAGTATTTTATATAAGAATAGACAAACTTTGTAAATCTATACCTAAGTGCAAATAAAATGAGAGATTAAAATAAGAAATAGTTTCAGCAACTTTTTTTTATTTTAAATTAAAATAAAATGTATTTCCTTTTTTTAAAATAAAAAATAAAAATTTGGAAAATAAATGGATTTAAAGTATAGAATTTAAAAACAAAAATATACATTCAAATTTTTTAAAAATTAAATTCAAATTTTAAAAATTTAAATTAAAAATTTAAAATTTTAATTAAAAAAATAAAATTTTTTTAAAAGAACTAGAGAAATATTAAAAATTGCACATTTAATAGGCATGAACAAATGTACATTGATTTATTTAAACTAGTGATTTTTTTTTTGCTATACTACAGTTCATTCAATAAAAGGCTTGAGAACCACTCAAGGTAGAGGATTATTGAATGACATTTGTGACATGGAGTTAGTAGGAAGTGAAGATTATAAGGATAAGAAGAATAGATAAGAACTTCCCCTGAACATTAAAGAGTTTAATATTCTAATGCTCAAGTGTCCTAATAACAAGATAAGATTGCTGGTCTGAGTAAATCAGTGTAAAATAATAATTCATCTAAAAAAAAAAAAAATTATATATATATATATATATATATATATATATATATATGTGTGTGTGTAAGATAGAGTGTATCTGTAAAGGAAAAAATGAATGAAAAGAGACAAGAGGAAAAACTATTCTTAGGCAAAATGTTTCATCTTCTGAGGGACTTTAACAAAGCAATGAAGAATCAAAAGAAAAAGTTAAATCCATCACTTCGTGTTTTTGAAAATGTACCCAACATACGCCCATCTCATACCATAGCAATCTAATCACAATTTAAGTAATATTCATTATTATATTTCTTGAATATTCCTCGTTTACTTTTTGCCAGATTTTAAATTATGACACATTGTGTATTCCATAGTTTGAATGACCTCTCAAACACCTGATGAACATTCATGATCTTTCTCAAATTTAAAAACCTTGATAAATCAATAACATCCTTGCTTTTGTATATAAACACGTGCAACAAAATAAATCCTACATTACCCCAGAGGATGAAATGCATCAGCTAAGAATAGTTTTCCACTTGTCTTTTTATTCATATTTTCTTCAAAACCCTAAGTCCATTTCCTATTTCTTACATCTTTACTTCTCCAGAGTTTTTTTTTCTCTTTTTCTCTTTATACATTTCCGTTGAGTTGACTAATTAAATAGGTCAATGTCTGATCCTTACCAGCCCTCCTCACTATTAAGTATTGTAATAAAAATAAATTTAAAAGCATTCCTATCTATTCCTTCCCTCTCTAATTTCATCTGTCACACTATCATCTCTCACCACTCTCTATATCACCTTACATAAGCTTAATACTGCCCTTCAAAAATGTAAGTTTAAATTCATTTTTTCATTCTTTGAAGTGAGGTCTGATGATCCAGGGAAAAAGAAACTCTCTGGTGAAATAAATTATAATAATGGAACCTTAAAGTGGTCTGTTTTTCTTTAAATTTATATATATATATGTGTGTGTGTGTGTGTGTGTGTGTTGAGACAAAATGAGAAAATTTAAATCACAGACAAATTTCACATTTGCACCAGAAGTGTGCAGGGACTGCATGAAACTGATTTGTGCTATTGTTGTTGGATATCATGTATATTCACTAAACAAATCTGTTCTGTAAGTTTTTACTTACCTGACAAATTCAGCTTTCTTCTCAATTAGTTTCCGTGGAGAGAAATTTACATTTATGATTCCAACATGATTTGGCTGTAAAAAAATAAAAGATTATATATATATATATATATATATATATATCAGACTCTCCCACAGATGACATATAGGTCTACCCCAATAGTTTTCTTTTCTATAGAACTTAACCATCAGACAGATCATATCATACATTTCTTTAGATTATAGCACTGATACCCAGTGCTGAATTGGCTTTTGTAGAACCATTAACAGAGAAGTGGCACATGTTATTTCACCGAGTGTCCTAAATAATCCTTTTCAGGTTGTAATTATCATAAAAATTCAGTCTGTCCTGTTATTCAACCCATAGCTAGAGGAAAGAAAGAAGCGAGTTCATACCGTTCCCAAGGGTATGAAAGTGAATGCAATTTTTCACACAGCTCATTTATTTCTCTTTCTAAATCATTAATCACTATGCTACATGTGCCTATGTTTATACAAACTTATAAAAATATATATTACATATCAATTATATAACCATATTATGACTATAAGTAGATTTAAAATGTCATTTCAATGATTAGCAATCAAAATTTCATCTGACGTTGGGAAATATCTTTTTCTATGAAACAAAGCAAAAGGATTTTCATAAATTTCAAGTTATAGTAATTTTAATGATAGATTAAGAAGATTAGTTGATTACAAATGTAAGGTGAGAGCAATTTTAAAAAAATAACAGGATTTGACACATAGGTGTTAACAGAAAACTGAGTTCAGTGACTCTGTGTCAAAAAACTTATAATAGCAACAAATTCTTGAAGATCAAGAGTAAAAGTCAAATTGGAATGTGTAATCTAAAGAAACCTGTCAATTTAATTCTTTAATTTTTTCTGCAAGAAATTAACTTGACAGTATTGGATAGGCCAACAGGAAAAGATGTCATCATTTACCAAGGAAGTGATAAAAATGATGCAATATAAATGAAGTCATAACAAAAGATTCGAAACAAAGAAGCTATAAAAATGATGCCAAACAAAGGATCAGGGAAACTTGCAAGTGGAATGTGTGTGTGTGTGTATATGCATCACCATATAGGACATGGTAATTGCAATGCTAATAACAATCATTTTTCTTTGAAGAGATTCAATATGCTTATCCATCAACATTATCCTTTCAACAATCCAATTCCAGTTTGACATTCTCTGATTTTATTTGTGTTCCTGTTGAATATTATTAATAATCATTTTACAAGAAACTCATTCATACTTGTTATCAAATACCCCTACAGTTTCTCTAATCTTAAGGTTCTCAGATTCACCAGCAACTATTGCATTTGGCAAATCAGATTATTCAAAGTTTTCATTAAGAAATTCTACATACCTTCATTTGGCACCCATCATGTTTGTTTTAGCAACAACATCCCAGTGTTCCTGGTTTAGTTTATTTTGTTTTTACAGCATATCAACCTCAGTGGGTTCTTTAATGCTGACAAGATTTCTAGAATAGGTTCGTATGAATAGAATATATATTCTTTGTAAGAAATCTGTTTACAAGAGATCAGGTTTCATTAATGCCTTTTGTAAAAGGGATTTCTGTTAAGAATCAAATGTATTGTTGGTAATTAGGTGTTACGCCAATGACATAGATATTCATATTTGGGAGAAGAATGATTTTAAACAAAGAAAAAATTGACATTTGCTGTTAAGTATTTTAAGAAATAAACTCAAGATGAATGTTTCCAAAACAGAAATAATGATCAAGAATTGTAATGAAAGCAATGATGGTACCTAAATTGAATTGATCATAAAAATTCAGGATCTGGTATTAGTAAATACCAAACACTTCAAATACCATTGAGTATGGGTCTGTTAGAAAAAAATTTAGTATAGAATATAAAGAAACTGAACATAGAATAGTCTGTACTAGAGGTGACTTTAACCATCACTACCAAAAAATTAAGCTAATGACTCGAATAATGTTTTTAAATAGTTTTGTCAGACCAAGACTTTCATATAGAGGCAATTCATGATGTCAAATCTGTTCAGAAATATATCAACTGTCAGTTGTATACAACCATTTTCTCAGATCAATGGTAAAAAGATGGGTTTAAGAAAATGTAGGTCTTAGTAAGGACAATCCTTCTTTAAACTTTGTGAACTGGTGCTGCAGAATCAAACAAAAAAACTATACCAAATAAAAGAAACCTTATGACTTGAAGACTTTCAACAACAGCAACAACTAAAATGAATAGTACATATAACCTGAAGAGAAAATGACATAATCAAGATGGTGACATTCCACACTACTTGAAACAAAAGGTTAGAAAGGAAACACCCATCAATGCTGTAAAAGTGGACTAATTAGTGGACATGAGAAACCTATTTTCCTGAAAATTAAAAAGGAGACAATATAGAAGAAAAGGAAGACAAATGGGAAAAATAAGAAAGAGAAAAAAGAAATATGAGGAGTTGAAGGTGAATGTGAAGAAAGAAAATGAATGAGAAAAAAGATGAACATGAAGAAGAAATTAACCCAATTCAAATTATTTTCAATAATATACGAATATAGAAGTGTGTAAACAAATCTACTTGCTAGTTCTTTTATTATAAACACATGTTGCATAAAAAAGTACAATTTTCAGAGGTGATACATTTCTATCAAATTTTCCCACCATAAACCAATGGCTCTTATAAAAGAACAAATTGATTTATTTTCCATCTGAGTTTGAGTGAACATGGCTGAAACTTGCCATCCATTTAACATTTTTCAGAGCACAAAGAAAAAATATATTTTTTAAATATTAGTGTTATAAGACAAACTTCATTAAGAGCTACAATGGATAGGAAATTGCAATGATCCATGATCACCTATGTTTTGAAGAGAGACACAGCACATAGAAGAAGAAGAAGTGTCTTAAAACTCTGTAGAATGTTCAAAATGAAAGATTGCAATAAAAAAATATTATCTTAAATTTTACACTAAATTGTCAACAAAAAGCAAAATCTTGTTTAACCCAAAAGATATTTAGCAAAATGAATACAAAAGGCTTTTTTTAAGTAAGTATATATATATATATATATATTATTATTAGAATATTATCAAGTGCATTTTATTACACTTTTATCACAATAATGAGGACCATCCTTCTTTGGACATTGTGGACCAGAGCTATAGAATCACAACCAAACAACTGTACCAAATAAGAGAAACCACTTGAGGACCTGCAACAACTAAAATGGATAGTACATGTAACTCAAAGAGAAAATAATGACATTACCAAGAAGTTGATATTCCACCTATTTCAAACAAAAGGTTAGGAAAAGAAATTCCCATCAATACTGGAGAGAGGGACTGGTTAATGAACTTGAGAAACCTATTTCCCAGAAAAAATTGTTTCAATAAAAGGATTTTACAAGTTTTAACCAAAAAGTAGCATCAGTTGCTCAGTCAATGAATGACAAATATTTCCTTATAAAGGAAATGGCTAATATTAGCATTACCATTTACACAGATCTTTCAATGCAATGTGGATGCAGAAAGTGTTGACATTGAAGTTAGCTGGATAGTAAACTTGATCCCCACAAATTGATAGTCACATTTGTAGTGACTAAAGATCAGGATCAATAAATATGGTAATAAATATATATATATAAAATAGATCGGTTAGATGAGGTTTCAACTAATATCTATATACCTTCATCAGATCTCCATCATGTTTGTGCTAGTGATAACCTCATTAACTGCTTCTTTGTGTAAACCTTTCAACATATTATAAGCATAGAAAGCATTGGTTTAATTTTGTTAACGGCATATCAATTACTTATGGGTCATTTAATGCCAAAATTTAATTTTCTTGTGAGCTTTGGTAATTTTTTTCTTTCACTATTGAAATCAATTGCTGGAAATTTTTATTATAAAATGTATTTTTATACTTTCATAGTTTTCTGACCTCAGTTTAGGAGGGGGGGTCACATATTTGCCCATAGCTTGGACCCTAACAGGTGCTACCACTTCAGGTCAGGGAGGACCTGGGAACAACAGCAATTAAGAGATGGTTCCACACTTCTCAAAATTTCCCAATCCGAAGCCTTGCTGCTGGGCATAGTTTATCATCAGAACCAGGATGAAGGATGCATTGACGCCAAACTGCAGAATTGGCTAGAAAGTAAACTTGAACACACCAAATTTGTTAATCTTAAAGACCAAGAGCAATGAGCTTACCAGACGTAAAATTTTTTACATATCAGACATGGAGGTCATAAATAAAAAACCATAACATGACAAAAAAAAAAAAAAAATCCTCAGTAACCACCCCTCAGAAGCACAATCACTTCATCACAATGTTAATATGCTTACCTACACATGAGAGACCAACACATACACAGATATCAATAGGAGTTTATATATAGATATTTAAAAAAGAATTATATCCTATATTATACGTAGGATGAAAAAGCTTACCTTTTCTTCATGCATTGCCAAATGATGTTCAGCCAATAATCTAATTCCCAGACGAGACGTAAGTGTCTTATCCAGAAATGTTTTCATTAATGAGTCATCCTAAAGATAGAACATCAAATACATATTTGAGATTATAAATATATAATATCGCAAATTACATGTTAATAAAATAGTTCTCGATGCAAGAGAAAAAGAGTCATAAGCTATATATTAATAAATATACATTATTTTCCTCACCTACATTATTTTTCCTCACCAGTAGCATGACTCAGATTTTCATGTACAATGCAATCTTCAGGAGCCGAGTTAAAACTTTTAAGGACCTCAACTCAACCTAAAGATTGTGTTGTGCATGAAACTCAGAGTCCTGAAAAAAAAAAATGTATATTTATTAATATATATTTGAGATTATATATATCTGTAATCATTTCATCCCAAGTAAGACAATAAATTCACTAAGATACAAGGGGAGGGGAAGTTTAATGTGTGTGAGAGAATATAAGAAAAAGAAAACATAATGGAAAGAAGACAATAAAAGACCAAGATTCAAAGAGACAGATGATGATGATGATTGACATTACATTAAAATTTTTGAAGATCAAAGTTGACTGGAAAGTAAGAAGCCAGAAGAGAGTTCCACAAGGACAAAGTGTAAGAGTAGAAACTGTTAGCATAAAACTTTCAGTTACATCTAGCCATTGCCACCAATCTAGTATTGAGCTTAAATTCATAAATTCTATGTAGAAAAGAGGAAACCTCATCAGAACAATATTATAGAAAAGGCACAGGGAAGCTATATCATGGCACTGGTAAAATGTCTGAAGTATAGATAGCAGGTCAGAACCAATAACATTGCACATTGTTCTTTAAGTTTCATCAAGAATCTCTAAATATATAGCACCAGATAAAATGAGGCAGAAATACAGAAAGCATAGACAAATAATGAACCTATAAATGTTTAAGATACATTGTCGCAGAAATAAATGACACAGTGAACCAACTTTCATAGCAGGCTCCTGGCAATTGGTTCAATATAATCTTAGTACTTAATGTCAGTGGAAAACATTAGCCCAAGAAGATACAATGAGTCACTCTTCTGAAGATTAGCGTCAGCCACTTCAGCCATTATATATATATATATATATATATATATATATATATTAGCTTAAAAGCCGCCCTATTATAACAATTGCAAGTCATTCTATGAAACTATAGAGTCAAGGTGCTGAATGTAACAACAATACACTAAGTGAAAAAATATTATTTGCATTAATCATATATATATATATATATATATATATATATATATATATATATATATATGAGGAGGCACGGAGGAGTAATGGATAGCGGCTTGATTGAGGAATCGAGAGCCAAGTTCGAATTCCAGTCGAATCCATTACATTCACTTACGTGCTAATACCCTTGGGAAAGGTGTGAATCCTCTTCTTCTCCTTCCAGCCATGGGTAAAATAGCAGGACAGACTGGGTTCTATAGCCTTGGATGGCAACTGGTCTAGGAGGAGGACAACTCTGAATTCAAAAACCTGTGGAGGGCCGTTTGGGAACCTTTGTGGTATAAACAAGTGCACCAGGTCTCTGTATTTGTCCTTCAAAAAAGTGTGGATGGTCCTGCACGTCCTTCACCACTATAATATATATATATATATATATGTTTCCTGAAACTGATCTGCTTGACCTTCATATGTTTAACATTGACGGGAGAGTGGACTATATATATATGTGTGGGCAGGGTATGTCATACTATTATACACACACTCATATATATATATATATATATATATAATTATTTTTATAAAAAAAAAAATTATAACATAAGTATGTTATAAAATCACTACAAAAAATAGCCATTTTGTTTCAACACACTCTGTGTCTTATCAAGTGATGATGTTGAAAAGAAAATAAATGGTTTTAAAAGTTTCAGATTAATTAACGATCCTACACTAGGGGGAACATTGTTACAAAAGCTAGAATAACTAATCAAAAACGAAGTATAGAAAGATTCAAAAGCTTGACAACGAAATCCTGCTATAATAGCTATTCAGATCTTTAAATACGTGTAATATTAAAAATAATTTTACTAACTAATAATTATAAATTTATATGATAAAATTTAATATTAAAATTAAAAACTGGCAATTTTAAAATCCAAATTTAATCACTATTTAGTTTAAAACTACAAAATTATTGAGAAAAGAAAAAATATATATGTTTATTCAATTCATTTCTTCATTGAAATTACGTTCGACAAGACAAAAAAGCTACAATTGTCCGGTCATTTGATAATACATGTATATATTTTTTTTTTCCTTTCTTTTCCGTTTTTATTTTAAAGTTTGTGAATATGGTCTTAAACTCACGCGTGACACAACAAAAACACAATCAGATTATAATACATAAGCATCCAGACATAATTAGACACACACACACACACACAAACACACACACACACACACACACAAACAAAAAAAAAAAAAAAAAAAAAAAAAAAGAAGAGGTGGGGGAATACATGAACAACTCCACAGCCCTTTATGAAAAAAGGAGACGTGGAAACTAACACTTATACACACACACAGTTAAATGTGAATACACTCTACATACACATAGACACATATATACACATAACATCCACAGACAATGGCATAGACATTGAGAAATCACAACCAGTAAATATTTCAGACTTAAATAAATGCTAACCACTTATTGAATTATAACTTAAGAGCAAATATATAAAGATAAAAATGTTTAAAATAATATTATTTAATATATTAAAACGAAAAATTCTAAAACCATAAATATCAATAAAAATATATATATATATTAATCATATAAGTTGATAATAGTTTCATTATATATTTGGCAAAGAAAAACAGGATAAAGAAATCCACAAATATATATACATATATATATATATATATACACGGCAGCAAAAACAAATTAACACACATAAATATACACTCATACATAAAAAAAAAATACAAATAAATATATAAACATAAACATATACGTACATATACATATCTATGAAATACACATGTAAATAAATATATAAATACAAACATATATACACATAGACTTTTATACACATACTTAGATATATAAAAAACAGTCATGATATACAAAGTTCCATACCCACACATACACACAAACAAACTATATATAGGTACCAACACACACATATATATATACATAAAAACATATATATATATACACACATACATATCTACAAATAAACATATATATATATCCATAAATATATCTACCTGCAATAACAACCACCCATATATACATGCATACATAAAAATACAACAACTTTCAACCAAATACATATATAAACGAACTAACATATAGATACATAAATATACCTTCAAACACCAACACACAGCAATATACATATAGTCTAACATACAAATATATAAACACATTCATACAAACAGAAATATACTTAAATATAAATACACAATAAAATAGGACATACAGATATATATAGACCTGCATCTGTGCGATTTTTTGTCGACACATATATATATATACACATCTTTCTTTTTAAAACCTTCTATATACAGGTATTGAACTCACAACTCATTGGGTCCTGTCACCAGGATCTAACCAACGCCTTTATCCACTGTGCCATGCGTCCTTGAGGACTTGGAGAGGGGAACATGCATTTGTTTAAATGCCTTACTATAAACAGAGCATTTGCACAAATACTTGTATCTATAAATAACAACATAAAAAATATATTTAATAAATAAATTGTATACCTTGTCCATTTCTTAATATATATATATATATATATATATATATATATATATATATATATATATATATATATATCACAAAATAATGACGTAATGTCGTTTTTTGATGTTAAAAATACGTCAAAAAACGACATTATTACGTCATTATTATTAACCACCAACTCATATATATATATATATATATATATATATATATATATAAAGACATTTAAAAACATATAAGTTATATTGTATAAATATTACTACTTGTATAAAACATATTTATAGGCATTCGAAAAAATAAAAAAAATTTTGTAAAATGTTAATTAAATAAACATCTTTTAAACTGATACAGTCTTTTTTTTTTGTCAAATAGTGAAATGAGAGTTATCGTAAATGGCCGCTCGCCTTTGATCATTCTTTATTAACACAGGTGTCCCCTGGTCCTACCCCATGTACGAGTTCCACTTGAGGGTCTGAGTCCTAATTTAGTCTCAATAGGCTCTCAAGTCATGGGGTCTCCCTGAGGAACATCTGTTCTTCAAAATTGGAGAATGTGCTCTGCCTGATCGGTGATGGTGGAAGGTCATTAGTTTGGTCTTTGAGGCACTGAATGTGATCAGCCATTCTTCCACTACTGAGCCGCTACAGTTAAATCAGAGGAAAGATATGCTGCCCCACTCGGGACGTCAAGAGGTTTGGAGGTGCACCCATATACCGTTCTATCATCTACAAAGATATTCAAAATTGATCGGAGGTAGATCATTTAAGCAGAGGAGGTTTGGACCGAGAAGGGATCTTCGGTGGACGCCAGCGTTGATATTCTGGGATTCGGAGAATTAACTTTAGGGTCCTAACCGTTAGGAAGGACTTTATAACTGAGAACACTCTCCCAGTGACTCAATATCTAGGGAGCTTGTGAGTTGCAGGGTAGAAACTAATTCGTTCCCTACAAGGACGCGGAGACGCTTTTGGACACTCTCGAGTGTGAAAAATGAGGACAGGCCGGCCCCCGTCCATATTTAGTTGCAGTACTCCATTTTCGGCCTGAGTTGGCTCTTGTTAAACTAGCCGGAGGAGTCGGGTTCTTACTGGTCCGGTGCAGGGAACCGACTAATTTCCCCCATCATCTATAGCGATGGATCGTATGTACGAGTTCCGCTTTGAGGTCTGCTGAGTCCTAATTAAGTTTTAAGGCGCTCAAAGCATGGGGGTCACCCTGAGGGAAGGTCCGTTTCATCACGATTGGGGAAA